CTACTAGTACTACTAGTAAGGCAAAAGTGTGCTTACTAGTAGTACTAGTGACATTTTTTGCGCCTACTAGTAGTACTAGTAGGCATTTTGGCGCTTACTAGTAGTACTAGTAAGGCGAAAAAGTGCTTACTAGTAGTACTAGTGGCCATTTTTGCGCTTACTAGTAGTACTAGTGACCATTTTAGCGCTTACTAGTAGTACTAGTAAGGCAAAATGGCTTACTAGTAAGGCAAAATGGCTTACTAGTAAAGGCCAAAAACCGCGCACTAGTAGGATATCGAATAAATGCTCAAACGGCTTTCCATAAGAGCCAAAAAACGCGCACTAGTAGGATATCGAATAAATGCTCAAACGGCTTTCCATAAGGTCAAAATGTGTCTACTAGTACTACTAGTAGACATTTTATGTCTTACTAGTACTACTAGTAGACATTTTAGCACCTACTAGTAGTACTAGTAAGGCAAAAATGTGCTTACTAGTAGTACTAGTGGCCATTTTTGCGCTTACTAGTAGTACTAGTGACCATTTTAGCGCTTACTAGTAGTACTAGTAGGCCATTTTGGCTTACTAGTAAGGCAAAATGGCTTACTAGTAAAAGCCAAAAAACGCGCACTAGTAGGATATCGAATAAATGCTCAAACGGCTTTCCATAGGCCATTTTGGCTTACTAGTAAGGCAAAATGGCTTACTAGTAAGAGCCAAAAACCGCGCACTAGTAGGATATCGAATAAATGCTCAAACGGCTTTCCATAAGAGCCAAAAACCGCGCACTAGTAGGATATCGAATAAATGCTCAAACGGCTTTCCATAAGCACCTACTAGTAGTACTAGTAAGGCGAAAATGTGCTTACTAGTAGTACTAGTGGCCATTTTTGCGCCTACTAGTAGTACTAGTAAGCATTTTGGCGCTTACTAGTAGTACTAGTAAGGCGAAAATGTGCTTACTAGTAGTACTAGTGGCCATTTTTGCGCTTACTAGTAGTACTAGTGACCATTTTAGCGCTTACTAGTAGTACTAGTACGCCATTTTGGCTTACTAGTAAGGCAAAATGGCTTACTAGTAAGAGCCAAAAACCGCGCACTAGTAGGATATCGAATAAATGCTCAAACGGCTTTCCATAGTATTTTGCTTTTAGAACCAAACATTAATAAATGTAGATTGAGATGTAGATTCTATCAATTCAATTTCTACATCCAACAACATAAAGGCTGTGAAAACTGTCAACATATGGTCTTCTTTTAATGTCTTCATATAATACCTATAAAACATATAAACTACCCCTAGCAAAGTTTATATTATTTGTCTTCTTATATATTTGTACTCTGTTCTGGATACTTCTTTATTCCCATGTTTATTTCTCTTATTTCTAACGATTTGATGAGGGGGAAAAAATCTGATTTTTTTCCGGCAGCACAAGAATACACCATCAGTTACCGCTCACACTCTCCCTTTGCAAGAGCGCAGGAGAAGCTACGGTGGCATAATAGTTCTCCATTTGACCAAGTTTCTTCTTCTTCTTTGGTAGTGACGAAACGCCCTACAGCAATTTGTCTGTTTGGTCTATTGTAGAAACATAGCGGTGCAACATGGCGACGTCCATGTAAGAGGACGGTGTATGTGGATATAAATGTCTCATTCTAAGGTAATTACAACATAATAGTTCATTATGTAAGGTCTTTATGCACCACTGAAAACATAGTTATGTCTATTTCTGTCAATAGATCCTTAGAAATAGTACACACTGAACCTTTAATACTGAATCCGCTTCATTGTAGAAATGTCTGTGAGGATTCTCAGTCGTCCAGGTCATAGTTATCCAAGGAAAGCTCAAATGGACTTATGTAGCAAGTTGAGGACACGCCACAAAATCACCACGACAAAACATTTATACAGATAAAACTGAAATGACTGTATAATGTTAATTTTCCCCATCATACCTCCAATGATACAACATGTGACAGGGACTGCATCAGATCTCTTCTTGTACTGAAAGATACATAAAATAAATGTTCCCTGCCTCAAATGTCTCATTCATCACTGGGTGACCCAATTACACTGGTTATGTATGTGCACACACACACATCCTTAGAGAAGCAACAAAACATAGAAAGAAAATTATATCTCCCAAAATGCCACGGGCCATGCAGCGCCACTCTAAGCAGGTGGCAGGATGTTATGCTAAGTTTCTCAGACACTGCTCTTTTAGAATATGGTTTTATTAGCCCACCACATATTAGCTACTGGAATTGCTTTTATTAGTACAACGATCCATAAACGTCTCTTTCAGCTCCAAATGCAGACTGAAAGAGAGCCTCTCATCCAAATTACCCTTGATTTGCCCTTGAATATATCTTTCCTTGGACTTTCATTGTAAAGCCATCCACAGCACCACCAGGTGGTGACATGGCTGTACTGCAGGAGGCTGTGGTCTTTCATTCAAAATACACTGATAAACATTCAGTTTACTCATGGATATGTAAAATGAAACAAACATCTTTCAGCCATATTAAAATATACTATATTAGAGTGTCTTCATATTTTCTAAATATAAATATGTTTAAAATATTATATATTATATTTAAAATAATCTAAGATTTTCACTTTAGTTTACCTTTGTTGTTGTAAACTAAACTAAAAGCGGTCTGAAACTTTGCACAATCTGTTATTTTGTTCACTTTGAGACTCACTGACACTAAATATAAAACCTATTTCCTGCTATGTGCTTGAGAGAAAACCTCATCAGTAGCAGAAATACAGAAAGAGGAAGAGGTGGGTTTTACTTGGTGTGAGCGCTGAACCTTAATTTGTTGATCTCAGATGACCAACATTTAAAATGGAGGAACCATCTTTACCGTGGCTGCTGGGTAAGTAAAAAATCTACTTAATGTGTGAATGTTTGTCTCCACGTTGTCTCAAAGATTAGTTCTAACACATTTGTTGTGTTTTTAATTAGTTTTAGAGTGAATAATGTGAATAAAACGACTGAATTCAGCCAAATACCATCAACAGACCAAATACACGTTAGCAAGAGAAGAAGAAATATTTGGCGATATGGCAGCAACAAAGTGTTAAGTATTAAGTGTAATTTTTAATTGTTGTGTGCAGTTATTCTAACGAAATACCATATATAGTAGTTTTGCTTTATAATAGGAGAGAGGAAAAGAGGTAGAAGAAAATCACATACAAAAATGTATTTACTAGGGCTGCACAGTTAATCGCGATATTATTGAAATGCCCGTGTGGCCAAGTACAAAATCACAGAAGGTGCAATTCTTTGATGAAGGTATAATGTGTGACAAAACAACAGTAAAATGAAGTACTGTGGTGCTGCAGAGAGTCCCCGTCCTCCAGATCATGTCCTCCAGAAGAAAACATGTTTGTCTGTTTCAGACCCAAACAAATTAAAATTGTGATGCAAAAAAGGTTTTTCTAGTTGTTCCACTAGTTGTGATAATTCCCAATTTGTTTTTTAGCATATCTTATAAATCTTTTTACCCAGCATCTTCAGGCAAAAGACTTCTCAGGGCCTTTGCAGACCTATTAATAGTTCCAGGTGGATAACAAGAAGTGGGAAGTGAGTATGGAGGGGAGTTCAATTGTATTTATTCATGTTAGATATTTTTTGTGGTTTATTAGGTCCATATTTGGGTGTGATCATCATACAGGTCTTTTACAATCAACCTGATACAGAGCTGCTTAAAGTAGTTAAGCAGCTCTGTTAGTAGTTACAGGATGTCTGCAATGAAAACAGTGTTCAGTTTTAACATGATCCTGGCCACTTTCTCACCTGGTTCTCTCCTCTCTCTCTTTTTGTTGTAAACCAAAAAGTAAACATAATAATCAAACATAGAATTTAGATATAATAAGAGGTAAGAATCCGTATCAGTTCATAATAATGATGTGTGAGACCACCTCCTTTACGATCTGATACCAAATAATGTCCAGGCTGGTATTGTTGATACTGACACCAATAACGCTTTTATTTGTAGTTTAATGTGACTCCCAGTCTTTGCACACACATCACACAGCGTCTTTACTGCATGTTATTTGGCACCACAGTAATCCAGTAGACATTTTTGACATATTTCAAAACTGATCTATCTTACTACAACACATTCTCAGTCCAGACACTCGGTCAAGACATCTTTGTGTCACTTTTTAACGCGCCTTTATCGTCTTTTAGGTCTCCGCAATCAAGTTAGCAACGATAAATATGCAACGTCTGGTGGGAATTTCAAAATAGTTAAAATTGCGAAGTGTCTATGAAGATTCTCAGTCATCCAGGACCACCAGGTGCACATTTTAGACAGAGAAGATGGATGGTTTGAAAGAGGTGTCAAGGAAGCATCTACACCAGGGTTGAGAAGCCGTCATTGAACAGAGGAGGGGGTCTACGCCACCACTTATCCACCACTCACAATGCTGTCCTTTCATCACTTCCCAGGAAACTCAACAAACGTAACCTATTGGCCTCAGGTGAAGATACTTAACGACTGTAACGACTGTCGTCACAGCAACCAGGAACAGTAACGAACCAGCGGTATCGATGACCCGGGCCAACGACCCCACTGAGGTTAAATAGCTGAGTTTCCCTGCCAGTCAGTCAGAACTGAAGAAGTCCTTTGGATGAGGGACGAAACGTCTTCCAGTAGCTTCAACCAAGTCCAGTTGCCCTTGATTTTAACCTTGGTTGGTTAACATTGCGAAACATCGCCATTGTGACTTTTATGTCCTAACTTAGGAGTGAACTTGCACACAGCTGCACATCCTGTGTGCTCAGTTTGAAACTAGGGCTGTGGTCTGTGCAGATTCTCTCTGCTATGATATAACTCTGTCTGTTTACTGTCTAATAAAGAACAAATTATTACTACATTATATTAGTGTACATTAAAATACAGTGTGTCCAGTGCTTGAAGTGGAAACAATAGGAGTCGGTAGTCCTCATTTACATGTTACACTGAATGTGTCCTTAAATAAAATTTTGTTATTTCTATATCTAATGTCAGCATGTGGCTGTTTGTCTGTTCACTACAAGCAGGTTGTTCTGTGTTGTAGAAAGTCCAGATGTCTTGTTTCATGTAAAACCTCAAACCAACCTGAGTGTGATTTCTCTTTAGTTCTGACCTCACTGCTGAGCTGCACAACAAACCAAGGTGAGAAAACTTCTTCTGTCACAGCTGAAAAGTTATTCACTCCCTGATAGAACAGTTAGTGTTTGTGGAGGGAAACAGCCACTTTTACAAGTACAATAAAACACTGAATAGAGTTTTGATGCCACAGTGTTGCAGACTGGAGCCAAAGCTAAAACTGCTGCTATAAAAATGTAATTCAGAAACTGCACAGCAGGATGCAGCTGCTAGAAGGTACACACCTAATCATATACATGTTGTGCTCCTTCTTTTGATGGTCCGGTAGGCTGTAGTTGCCATTACAACAGGAGGATTATGGGAAGAAAATATTGATTGGTAAAAGAGATCAATAAGCAAGTGACAGAAAACAATAAAATTCTCAGTGTTTAATGTGCCAACTTTGATATTTGAGATTCTGATTTCTTCCCTTAAAAATCTGTGAAACTGTAGATGTTGAAAAAGTAGGAATATGAGGAATGTGGAGAAAAAAAAACCTCATCTCTTTAACCACATCTTTCTGTCTTTTCCTCCAGCCTCTCTGACTGTGAGTCCCAGCAGCTCTCAGTTTTTCACCTGGAAGTCTGTCTCTCTGAGCTGTGAGGAGGACGACAGCTCTGCTGGATGGACGCTGAGGAGGAACACAACCAGAGAAACCAGGACTCAGTGTGGAGCTGGCTGGGGAAGATCAGCTAATTCTTCCTGTTACATCAGCTACATTAACCCAGTGGACAGTGGAGTTTACTGGTGTGAGTCCACAGAGGGAGCAACCAGTAACACCATCAACATCACTGTCACTGGTAAGATCAGACTGTGGAGTTAGTGTTGATGAAGCTGTGTGTAAATGATGAAATGCTGTAGTTTGTCTCTGTGTTGAGGTGGACCAGTGATCCTGCAGAGTCCTGTCCTCCCTGTGATGGAGGGACATGATGTCACTCTGCACTGTAAAACAGAGACCCCTCCCTCCAACCTCCCAGCTGGTTTCTATAAAGATGGCTCCCTCATCAGGACTGAGCCTACAGGTCACATGACCATCCACCATGTTAACAAGTCTGATGAAGGCCTCTACAAGTGTGACATCAGCGGTCATGGAGAGTCTCCATCCAGCTGGATCTCTTTCACAGGTGAGGAGCTCAAAGATAATTCTCAAACTGACCTGGTTTTGTTTTCTACATTGAGTTCAGCAGGTTTCAGGAGAGCAGAGATGATTCATGATGTGACAACATTTCTAACTTTGCAGTCTGCAAAACAACAAGAGTGAAATCTGTTTCTGAGTTTAACCCGCCGTTTGAAACGAGATCTTTTTAACTCTAAACCAGACTGACATTATGAATTCACTGCTGTGTCTTTCTTTTAGCATGCTGTTCAATAAATTATCCATTTATTTTATTTTCTGTGCTTTTAATTATAATTTATTGTTCAATTTAGTGAAACCCACCACTACAAGTCCTCCTTCAACCACCTCTCCTCCTGGTTCCTCCTCTACTTCTCCCTCTGTATTGTGGTTGGCCGCTCTATCTTTCTGTGTTCTGGTTGTACTGGTTCTTCTGGTTCTACTGGTGAGACGATGCCTCCACAGGAAACCTAAAGGTTAGACACAGACTCCATGTGATGCAGTTCACATTTAAAGTTTCCATTAACACTTCTGGACGTACAAATAATAACAAGTTACAAACTGTCTCTTTAAGTCAGACGTCCATCAGGATTCTCATAAATCACATTGCTGTTGTTAATAAAACAATCTCACCACAGGGTCCATTTAGTGAGCTGTGGAGCTTTTGACTGAATCACATGATCTTCCTTCCATGAATTTCTGCTCATTTTGGTTCATTCAGCCGCTGAAGTTGGAGATGATGACATCACAGACCTACAGCAGCCAATCAGATACAGCAACGGTAATGATGTTTTGTTGACTTTTCAGGGACAGTGAGTGTGTGTTATTGTTCTTATGTCTTTGTGAGGACAAAGTTGAGTTTCTGACCTTGAGAGGACATTTTTATAAAATTTGGAAATTGTAGAAAGAATGTTCATCAAAATAAATTAAATGTAAAATAAAATTTTTTTAGTCCATAAAGTTTTCAGACTCATTGTGGTCTCTTTAGGTTGATCACCATGTGTGTTTTTCCCCTGCGATGAATTGCTAACAGAAGCTAACACATGAATTATAAATGTGCAGATTTACAAATCTCTCTACATTCTGTTCACAAACTATATATTAACTGTTTTACTCAAACATTATTGGTCTGTTTGTTTTAATGTAAATAATAGGTACATTAAGAGTTCAAATGATTTTAAATAATAGAAAAGATGGACCAAATATATTTGGTTGTGCTCTGCATCTAAACCACAGCAGCAACTTCCTCCTGTTGACACCAGTGAACTGAGGTCTGACGCTGGTGTCGTTTCTCACTATAGTGTGATCTGTTTTAGCTGATAGTGTTGTGTCTATTTTTGTTCTGAAATATGGGAACTTATTTTGTGGTCCTCTAGTTCCCTGTTTAAGATAAATACCCTCCAGTTATATTTGGTCTTTCACCTTTCACAGTGTTAAGAAGAAAACTATCAAACCTGCTGCCCTTTATAAAGTCTATAATACAACTTATTATAATTCTATATATCTATACTTATTATGATTCTACATATGAAAAGTAATGAAATTATTTCTGCAGTAGTATTAAGTACATGTGCTGCAGTACGAGTATTATTAGCAGTAAATATCAGCACTTCTAACAGCTGTAAGTTGACATTTCTGTCTGTATCTCGGCGATCTTTTATGCCAGTTTAGTCAAAATGTGGTACACACTAGTGACACGTGTCTGCTGTTAAATTGCAGAATCGTTATTTCTGCAACACGGATGTGAATAAAATGCATGTCTCAAACACACGGAGTCAACGTTACATTTCACAGCATAGTCTAATAATAATAATTGGTGTTTGTGTGTAGGGCTGATCCAAGTATCATAGTTACTGTAAGTCATAGTGAAATAGTATTCAACATAATAATAAAACCATGTGAATATTAGTGTGTTTGTTTTACATCATCACAGTGGTGACAGACATGCGGCTCTCCTTGAGGCCTCAGGGGCCCACAGAGAAGCCTACAGGTCTTACACTAGCATTTGAACATGCTGATAAAACAAACGTTCCTGTGTGTGTGTGTCAGACCTACACTGAAATTCAAACACTTAAATACAACTAAACATTTTTATTGTTGTTTCATCTAACCCAGACTCATTAAAGCCATGACCTAGCTTACCTTACAGCCTACAGCTAAAGAATTAGCACTAACAATTTACATTAAAGACATCTACATAGACACACAATAAACATGATTTAAGTTTGATTAGTTTAACTAAAAATAAATGTACTATGTTCCATGCGGAATAAAGACTAAACTGAGTATGTGCAGAGTGAATCAGGTGATTTGTAACTTGTTCGTGGTTGGAGAAATTGGACGTGTTATAACTGATCTGTGTTTCATCCCTGGTCTCCTCTACCTGAAGTAATGTAACTTGTATTTGTTTTATTTTCCAGTGTGTAATTCAGTTGCAGTCTACTCAGCAGTTAGAGGAGCAGGAGACGTCAGTTATGGACAAATAGCCATCAGACCACACAGGACGAGAGGTACAGCTGATCTTTATTTAATATATGTGTAGATAATGTGATGTTTGTATTCGTGTTGTGGTGTTTGTATTTGTGTTGTGCTGTTTGTATTTCCGTTGTGGTTTTTGAATTTGTGTTGTGGCTTTTGATGTGTGACCGCATTAGATGGACAAAAGAAACAAGTGTTTCAATAAACCTGACAATGACTCCTGACTGTGTTAAAGTACTAACTCATCTGGCATGTGATTGTGACAATAGCCTTGTTTCCATCAACGTTTTTTTCATGCACATTTTGAAGTATCGCATCAGAAAAGGTTGATGGAAACGGCAAAATTCCTTAATTTCTCAAGAAAGTTTTTACGCTCGCTTGAGGTGGTTTTTGCCTTTCGCGAAAAAGAGTAAATACGCTAAATTTCCGAATAAGTTCTGACGTAGAGAACTTGTAAGTTAGGTCTGATCAGCTGTTTCCGCTCTGGGCGTCTTGCCGGATATTGCCATAATGAGCGGAGACATGTCTGGCAGCAGTTTGCCCACTTTAAACACACTTCAGATCAATGGCCCTCAGGTCCATGCGACTGGTTTTGTTTCTGGCTTGAAACCCAAACGTCTTGTTTATTAAAGCCATGTGTAATGTCAACTACTGACATAACTACGCTCGCCATAGCCTGGTTTATTCGCTCCAAACCAGCTGATGGAAACGCACATACAATTGCATTTACTATTTTGTGACATTTCAAAAATCACCTTAAAATTCACATGGCAATTGGGTGGCACAACGGCTAATGACACAAACTTACAGCTTCAGTAAATTTAGTTTCCATGATTGAAAGGGAATTATGTCTTATTACACATGCTCTTGTTCAACAGGAAATTGCAGCCAAAAAAAAGGACGCATGAGAATTTGACAAGGAAACAGAGATGTTGGCGGAAAACAGGCAATGAGAAAAGTAACAATTGAAGATTGTTGCAGCTAAGGGAGGGGTTATTTCTTTTGTTTATCTGCAAGAGTCGAGGAACAGAGAGTTGACCGTGTGGAAAATACCAGGCTTATTGGGACAGGGAGCTCTAGAGGTTTATGTGATCTCGATTACTGAATAAGTGATTGTTCTGTGTTTGGTACTCATCTGAGAACATATTAGGTCGTCTGGTCAGTCTGATAATTTGCATTTATTATATTCTAACTAAAACTGATTAAATCTCATTTCCAACATTTAATACTTCTAAGAATTGGGTTACTTTTAACAATCAAGTATTCTCTGATATTCGTTTTAAGTATCACTCCTGGCATGTGATAGTTATTAATAATTCAACTTATTCAAACATTTATTATGTAACAAATTTCTTGTTATATTGTGTTTGTTATATTTGAATGTTTTGTATCTTATGGCATTTATTGGAATCTATATTTCTATGTATTCACTTTTATGTGTTCAATAAACATTTGCAAAATTCACTTAAGCCCATAGTAATTTTTGATTCTTGTATTTGCACAAGGAAAAGTGTCTCCACAATCTGAAAGTTGCAAAGGTCATATCATTATTAAAAAGTGGATCCTAGTCTTTTCACTGATTGCCGACCAATTTCTATTTTACCTGCTTTTCTAAAGTTTTGGAAAAGTTATGCATGAAAACCTGAATGATAACAATATCTTGTATAAACATCAATATGAATATTGACAAAAACACCCAACATACTTATAAACAACAAATCCAAAGCATTGGACAATAACTGGACTGCACATTGCTCATGATGTGCTTACTCATACAAAAATACAAAATCACAATAATAAAAATAAAATAAAATCAGACACAGACTTCAGTGTAGACAACACAAATATACACACTATGAACAAAAACAATATAGACATACTGACAAATAGTGCAGAGTGCAAAGGATGCAGGAGTTTGTACATGTCGGGGGTGGATGTGATATACATGTACACATACATGCACACATGCACACAGTGCAATGAAGCATAATGCAAAGGATGCTGGAATAAATAAGTAAGTATGTTATCTAAGAGCAATGACTTGAGCTAGGTGGATTTGGTATACAACCTATATTTCCAAATGGTAAATTGATTTATCAAAGAATTATCAAAGGCATTTGATACAGTCGATACAAATCTGATTTCCAAACTTTACCATTATGGGTTTACTGCTGCTGCTCGTCTCTTTTCCTTCGCTGACTCAATGACATTATCAGACCAATAAATTACAAACACCACCCAGAAAGCAAAACAAGTTTTGTTGATGTCGGATTGAGATCATCCATACATTATATTTATAGCTCTTCTGGTGTGCAGTTAGTCCTCCGGTGTGCTAACAGCTGATAGAGTCAAGATAAATAACAGGCCTGGAGTTATTGTTTTAAGGTTTCATCAATAAGGAGGTTTCTGCAAGGATGTGAAGTCGGTCTCCTCCTCACCAAAACAAATGGATCAGCTGATTACAACAGCATGTTAAAAACAACGTTCCTCCAAAGCTCAGGTGGAGACAGGACGTGAGTGCTTCTAGCTGCTGCTGTTAACTTTAGCTCAGTTTAGTTGGAAAACGGACGAGTTGCGGACCAACGCTGCGGCCTGCAACAAGGTCCGATTTAACTGGGATTATTCTGTTAAAGGAAACATTAATGACTGACGGAGCACACCGATCCAACAGTCGGTGTTGGTTGAAGTTGGTCGCCGTTTGTCGGGGCAGTGTGCAAGCAGCTTTAGAATAAAAAGTAAAAGTACCTCATTACTGTGAAAGGCTTCTTTCAGCATTTGATGTTGAGTTTGACATCCAGTGATGTCTGATATGTTTTACTTTTTCTCATCATGATTGTGAATTCGGTGGAGTAAAGTAAGTGTATGAAGTCCCTCATAAGTGTTAAAGTATCCATGTATTATGTTGTTTGTTGTCTGTTTATCAAAACTAGATACCATGTTAGGCAGAGGTGGAAGCAACCATTTAAATTTACTCTTATTCCTGTAACAAAGTCTGAGTCAGTTACTTTTCAAATATGTTTAAATTAACAGTAATCAGTAATTTTACTTTAAGTACCTTTTTTATTTTAGTAGAAGTATTGTACTTCCAGAGTAAAAACAAAAGTTAGATGAAAAAGTCCTGATAAACCAGTTCACAAAAAGTGACATTGACGAGCTACTTTCTGCTCACGGCTGCATGATCTTCTCCCTCGTCTGCCAACAGAGAGAGAACGGGAACAGGTGAGCGTCACATTGCACCCAGAGAACCTGATACAGAGAGGGCAGAGGCGAGAAAAAAGTCCCGTCCCACTTCAAGCTGCTCTGAACAGTTTCATAGTATGAACCTAGACTGTTATGTGAGACCGTTTGGATGTGTAGAAGAACACAGAACATGAATTAACATCTGATCAAGTTAGCAGGTTATGCTGCTACATGCGTAAATATGCACAGGGAGACACTTCATCCTGTTTCACCCAGCCGCTATTCAGTGTTCATTTTTATGATCCTGCCTGCCCATCAACACATCCCATTCAACAATAACAACATCAGTTGACCTAATTAGAAATGTCCCGATTCGATATTAATGAACAAAAGAACACCGTAGAGTCCTGCTCCCGCCATGGGGTTGGATAGTCCAGCTGCATGCCACTCCTCTTTTCAACATCATGGCTGGCGAAAAGACTTCCGCAAAGAATGCATCGCTGTATCCTCGCTTATAGCTCCTCCAGCACGCCTCCTCGCTCCTCATTTTTCTACATTTTAAGCATTGAGCTGTTGATCAATTTGTGGGTCACAGGCAGGAGGATGGAGGATGGAGGAGACGAGGAGGCACAAAATGGGAGAAAGGTGACTTCTAAATTTACCTTTACATATAGTGAGTTGAGCACAGCCTTTCTGCTGTTTTTTGTCTGTTCCTTTACAGGAACAAGTGTTAATTTAGCTCAAAATGTTTTTGAGAACTTTCTGTGTAATAGTTCACAGAATGTCATTTAGGCTGTGAGAAGAAAAACAACAAAGTCACTGATGGATGTAACTCACTATCCAGAGGAGAATTTCACAAAACAACTGTGTTAGCGTTTTTCTTTGTGTGTTTGCCGCCCTGATGAAGTGACTGAGGGGCAGTAAAAAAACGGCAAGGGGGTCAAATCTTTTTATATATTAAAATAGTAGGTTATCATCCTGATGTGCCAATTTCCACATTTGTTTTTCTCCTGCAGGTGGCAATACAGCGCCATTTTAACTATAGTTGCAAACAATTCAGTAGTACATAAGGGTTGGTCTTGTGCAAACGTGCAGTAGAGTCCTGACCAATTGTCTGTATACGGCTATGTGTGTGTGAGTGCGAGTGATGTATGAGTCATGTTACCTTAAGATGTTAGAATCAATTAGATCATTTAATTTAGTTAATGATAGCTTTGTGTCTTTTTTTGTGTTGGGGCAGTCTTTGGCCACACTTCCCTGGATTGCAACTGCTGTTTTGGATCTGCCTGATGTCTTTATTTTCTCATGATTGATTTTGGCTCCTCCAATCAGCTGATCTCCACTTGGCCGCTCCAGAACTGTCAGACTTACATTTTGTGGGCAGCTTTTAAAAGTGAACTTGTATTACAGCTGCCCATACTTACAAAACATGTCAAGTATAGATATGTATTATTTGGTTGGATGCATTGGTAAAACGGCCGTCAGTAAAATGCGTGTTGCAGACTGTTTATAAAACGGTGGCAGGTGAAAGTGCGACGCGTTTTCTGTCATCTGTCCTCCAACACCGCACCACAGATGCCATAATGAACATACCTACTGTAAGTTCTAAGTAAATGACATGATAAATTGGTCAGCTAGCTCACATCGATGTTTATCGGTTTGATGCTCTGATTTAACGAGGCCTGACAGTGCGCCTGCGCAAGCTTGGAGAATGACGTATCACTTATGGAATTACTATAGTCATACGTCACCACCCCGTTTTAACAACTAAGCAACTTTTACAACTTTGAGCACAAAATTAAGCTATTTGTCAAAAAATATTTGGCGAACTAATCAACATTGTAAGGAAATGACTCAGAAAAATATGAAATATCATAGAAATGTCAAAATACACTGGAGGGGGCTTTCAATATTAATAATATTATAAATACAAACAAGAATAACATAAACAGATTAAATGTTTACCGTTGTGTTTCTTACATCACCACCCGAGTCAACTTACACTGATGTCGTTCCACGTTTGTACAAAATAGCTCCTGGTATTGATAGAAAACACAAGGGAGTTGCTGATCACAACAAAAATGATTTCGGTCTGTAACGTCATCTTTTAAAATGAAGTTTATCTAAAAAGTGTTTCATTCGTCCGGGCTCTCCCCTATAGTCGCCATTGCAATGCCAGTCCATGAATTTGGAGGGCGGAGCTTCTGAGGGAGTGAAGGGAGTTTGTTTGGCGGGTTCAAATATCAACAATCTTTCAGCTGAGCTCCTTTCTATCCCCTTAGATGTCTTAACAGTCTGGTAACGTGTTGTGAATTTATTTCCGCACTAATGTCAGTGTATTGTCTGTGGAGATCAACATGCCATGATTCATAACCATTTTGGGAAAACTACTCCGTAAAGTGAATTTGCTGATTTATACAAAAAATGTCAACTTGCTAATAGAAATGTAAGCGGCCCTCCTGAGCCTTCACCTGACTGGTTTAGAGGTCCTCACGTTTAGTCCGTCTGAACTTCTTATTACCCGCATCTCTTTGAAAGGAATAGTTCAATTGTTCAATGTTTTAGAAACACTCTGTAGTCAAGTCGTGGTTAGCTTAGCTTAGCATAACGACTGGAAGCAGGGGGAAACAGGTAGCCCGTCTCTGTCCAAAGAGCATCTGCACCTCTCGTCCTTTGTGGTCTGATGACTATTTGTCCATAACTGACGTCTCCTGCTCCTCTCACTGCTGAGTAGACTGCAGCTGAATTACACTCTGGAAAACAAAACACATACAAATTGCATTACTTCATGTTGGGGAGACCGGAGATGTTTGAGACACAGGTCAGTTGTAACACGTCAAATTTCTCCAATAAGGAATCACCTGATTCAATCTGCACATGCTCAGTTTAGTCCTTATTACACATGGGGAAAAGTGTCACCCTGTGGCAGCACATACAAGTTTAGAAAGAAAAATAATTTTAAGGTGAGAAAGATTTTTTTTGTTGTTATTTTGTTACAGCATTGGCTGCTTTGTTCCTAAATCATGTTTACTGTGTGTCTGTGTAGATATCTTTCTTGCAAGTTGTTACTGCTAATGTTTTAGCCATACGTAAAATGTTTAGTTGTATTTATCTGTTTTATTTTAAATTCAGTTTGTGTGTGACACGCAGTAAGGCTTAATTATCATAATTACTTATAATTATAATGTATTAATTATTATGTTCAGATGTTAGTTTAAGACCTGAAGGCTTCTCTGTGAGCCAATGAGGCCTCCAGAAGAGCCACAAGTCTGTCACCAAGATAAACACAAACACACACACTGGTGCACAAGTTGTTAACTTTTATTATTATGTTCATTACTATGTCACTATTATTACTGACAGTAACTACGATACTTGGATCACCCCTACACACACACATGCACACACACACACACACACACACACACTAGTTATTTTAAAACTACAGCTGTTACAAGTGCTGTTAGTATAATGTTCTATACTAGTACTACTAGTACTGCAACACATGTAATAATATTACTGCTGTAGAATGATTTCATTACTTTTCATGTAGAATTATAATAAGTTGTGTTATAGACTCTGTAAATGGCAGCAGGTTTGATAGTTTTCTTGTTCTTACTACTGTGAAAGGTGAAAGATCAAACTGGAGGGTATTTATCTGAAACAGGGATCTAGATGACCACAAAATAAGTTCACACATTTCAGCACAAAAATAGACAAACACATCCCCATCAGCTAAAGCAGATCAAACTATAGTGAGAAACCACACCAGCGTCAGACCTCAGTTCACTGGAGGAACAGGAGGAAGTTGCTGCTGTGGTTTAGATGCAGGTGCACAACCAAGTGTCTTTGGTCTGCTGAGTGCATCTTTTACTTTACTTTATTCACTTAAGCACTTAATTTACCTTTTATTTACAATAAAACAAACAGATCAACTATGTTTAAGACCCAACAGTAGAACTGTCTCTACATGTTGATGTATTTTGATTTAACAATTAAAACAGACCGGACAATTTTTGCTCATACAATAAAGGACCAAACACAATAGGAGGGTTAATTAAATGGAAATATTCAAGGAACCATTTAATCTGTAGTTGAAGTAAGTGTTGTGATGTTCAAAGCCTGCAAGGATGAGATGGCATTTTAAACACTGAAAGTATACACTCACCTAAAGGATTATTAGGAACACCTGTTCAATTACTCATTAATGCATCTAATCAACCAATCACATGGCAGTTGCTTCAATGCATTTAGGGGTGTGGTCCTGGTCAAGACAATCTCCTGAACTCCAAACTGAATGTCAGAATGGGAAAGAAAGGTGATTTAAGCAATTTTGAGGTTGTTGGTGCCAGACGGGCCGGTCTGAGTATTTGTGAAGCCACAACACGCACAACCTTGAGGCGGATGGGCTACAACAGCAGAAGACCCCACCGGGTACCACTCATCTCCACTACAAATAGGAAAAAGAGGCTACAATTTGCAAGAGCTCACCAAAATTGGACAGTTGAAGACTGGAAAAATGTTGCCTGGTCTGATGAGTCTCGATTTCTGTTGAGACATTCAGATGGTAGAGTCAGAATTTGGCGTAAACAGAATGAGAACATGGATCCATCATGCCTTGTTACCACTGTGCAGGCTGGTGGTGGTGGTGTAATGGTGTGGGGGATGTTTTCTTGGCACACTTTAGGCCCCTTAGTGCCAATTGGGCATCGTTTAAATGCCACGGCCTACCTGAGCATTGTTTCTGACCATGTCCATCCCTTTATGGCCACCATGTACCCATCCTCTGATGGCTACTTCCAGCAGGATAATGCACCATGTCACAAAGCTCGAATCATTTCAAATTGGTTTCTTGAACATGACAATGAGTTCACTGTACTAAAATGGCCCCCACAGTCACCAGATCTCAACCCAATAGAGCATCTTTGGGATGTGGTGGAACGGGAGCTTCGTGCCCTGGATGTGCATCCCACAAATCTCCATCAACTGCAAGATGCTATCCATCAATATGGGCCAACATTTCTAAAGAATGCTGTCAGCACCTTGTTGAATCAATGCCAAGTAGATTTAAGGCAGCTCTGAAGGTGAAAGTGGGTCAAACACAGTATTAATATGGTGTTCCTAATAATCCTTTAGGTGAGTGTATATTTCCACTGATTTAGAATAGTCATTTTGGCGCTATTGGAAAAAAACAACTGAATGCTGCTGTTGCGTAAAACAATCCAACTGCCATTTACCAATATGAACTTATGAAAAATGAAATGTACTGAAATTATCCAATCCAAGTTTACTGTATTTCCAAATAGTTTTTTGACCTCAGAAAGCATCGTATAGAATAGCATGACAAAAACAAGAACAACTAATTCCTCCTCTTTGTTCTTTGTCATTCAATATTGCAAATATTTGTTTGACAATATTACCTTGCTCTTAAATACAAAACCATTGCATCCAACATATATTTTAAATGGGGCTTTTCTAATAAAATAACACACTATAAAACTGGAACAAAAAGGCAACTGCAACATTCAAACCAGTACTATGTACTTGTGCATGTCGTGCCATTAAAACCGTAAAGCATTAAAACAATTTAGAGTTTAGTTTAGATATAGAATGTTTTATTTGTTTTATCTGTCATAAACATCTATAATAGAAAGACAAGATGCCTTAGTTAACAGAAAATGGGAAACATTACAGACAGGTGCCACATATTGACCTTTCTCTACAAAAGGTGAGAGCATGGTATCATCAAGACCCACATTACTATTTTAAGTGCATTAAATACTGTTGGCGCCACGTGTTTAGAATGAAAGGGATACTGATATTCACATTGGCAAATTATCATTCCACAGTGATTATTTTTGCATTAACCCATATTAAAAAGAGAAATAATGTTTTAAAATAAAGTCCTGGTCAAATCTGACCACATCAAACAGTTATTTGGAAAATCAAAGCTGGAGATGGATGCTGCAAGTCTTTGTGTGGACAGTGGAATGTCCATATTAAACCAAGTTGCTGTGTGAGAGCAGAGGGTCCAATGCAGGTGACGGTGTCTTTTTAAATTATTACAATCCTTTGCAAGATGGAGAAGTGAGTGAAGATGTAGCCTTGGATGCCTGATGAGTCTGGTTGTTCACTGGCTGATCCTTCTTGTTTATTCAATGTTCAATTTCCATAGTTTATTTTATTTATGCATGCATTTATTTATTTAAGCATTTTTTTATGTTATTTTATTTCAGCATGTATTTATTTAATCATTTCTTTATTTGCATGTATGCATGTATTTATTTAATTTTTTTAAATTTATGCATGTATTTGTACTTTTACTTATTTATGCATGTATTTAATCATTATTTAAATGTATCTATGCACGCATTTATTAACGCATTTATTTATTTAATCTTTTATATTTTATTTATTTATGGATGTATTTGTACTTTACTTTATTTATGCATGTAATTATTTAATCATTCTTTAATTTATTTATGCATGCATTTATTAAAGCATTTATTTATTTATGCATGTATTTGTACTTTTATTTGTATTTATTTAATTAATTAATTAAATTTATTTCTGCAATCATGTATTTATAGTGTTTTGGTTTTAGGTCCTCCCAACCAGCTGCCGTTTTAACTCAAGACGAAGAAGATCTGTTTCAGTCACGTGACTCGGTGACGTAAGTGTCATGACGGACGGCTGCTGGGAGAGAGACTGAAAAGAGGAGGAAAAAGGTAATTTGATGGGGGGTTTTTTATGTGTGTGTGTGTGTGTGTGTTTCTGTATGTGTTTGTTTCTTTATGTGTGTGTGTGTGTTTCTTTATGTGTGTGTTTCTTTATGTGTGTGTTTCTTTATGTGTGTGTGTGTTTCTTTACGTGTGTGTGTGTGTGTGTTTCTTTATGTGTGTGTGTGTGTTTCTTTATGTGTGTGTGTGTTTCTTTATGTGTGTGTTTCTTTACGTGTGTGTGTGTTTCTTTATGTGTGTGTGTGTGTTTCTTTATGTGTGTGTGTTTCTTTATGCGTGTGTTTTTCTTTATGTGTGTGTGTGTGTTTCTTTATGTGTGTGTGTTTCTTTACGTGTGTGTGTGTTTCTATTTGTGTGTGTGTGTTTCTTTATGTGTGTGTGTTTCTTTATGTGTGTGTGTGTTTCTTTATGTGTGTGTGTTTCTTTATGTGTGTGTTTTTCTTTATGTGTGTGTGTGTGTTTCTTTATGTGTGTGGGTTTTTTTTATGTGTGTGTGTGTGTTTCTGTATGTGTGTGTTTCTTTATGTGTGTGTGTGTTTCTTTATGTGTGCGTTTCTTTATGTGTGTGTGTGTGTTTCTTTACGTGTGTGTGTGTTTCTTTATGTGTGTGTGTGTGTGTGTTTCTTTATGTGTGTGTGTGTGTGTTTCTTTATGTGTGTGTGTGTGTTCTTTATGTGTGTGTGTTTCTTTACGTGTGTGTGTTTCTTTATGTGTGTGTGTTTCTTTATGTGTGTGTGTGTGTTTCTTTATGTGTGTGTGTTTCTTTATGTGTGTGTGTTTCTTTACGTGTGTGTGTGTTTCTTTACATGTGTGTGTTTCTTTATGTGTGTGTGTGTGTTTCTTTATGTGTGTGTTTCTTTATGTGTGTGTGTTTCTTTATGTGTGTGTTTTTCTTTATGTGTGTGTGTGTGTTTCTTTATGTGTGTGTGTGTTTCTTTATGTGTGTGGGTTTTTTTTATGTGTGTGTGTGTGTGTTTCTGTATGTGTGTGTTTCTTTATGTGTGTGTGTGTGTTTCTTTATGTGTGTGTTTCTTTATGTGTGTGTTTCTTTATGTGTGTGTGTGTGTTTCTTTACGTGTGTGTGTGTTTCTTTATGTGTGTGTGTGTGTGTTTCTTTATGTGTGTGTGTGTGTGTTTCTTTATGTGTGTGTGTTTCTTTACGTGTGTGTGTGTTTCTTTACGTGTGTGTGTGTTTCTTTATGTGTGTGTGTGTTTCTTTATGTGTGTGTGTGTTTCTTTATGTGTGTGTGTTTCTTTATGTGTGTGTGTTTCTTTATGTGTGTGTGTTTCTTTACGTGTGTGTGTTTCTTTACATGTGTGTGTGTTTCTTTATGTGTGTGTGTGTGTGTTTCTTTATGTGTGTGTGTGTTTCTATTTGTGTGTGTGTGTTTCTTTATGTGTGTGTGTGTTTCTATTTGTGTGTGTGTGTTTCTATTTGTGTGTGTGTGTGTTTCTTTATGTGTGTGTGTTTCTATTTGTGTGTGTGTGTTTCTTTATGTGTGTGTGTGTTTCTTTATGTGTGTGTGTTTCTTTACGTGTGTGTTTCTATTTGTGTGTGTGTGTGTGTTTCTTTACGTGTGTGTGTGTTTCTTTATGTGTGTGTGTGTGTTTCTTTACGTGTGTGTGTGTTTCTTTACGTGTGTGTGTTTCTTTACGTGTGTGTTTCTTTATGTGTGTGTGTGTGTGTGTGTGTGTTTCTTTATGTGTGTGTGTGTTTCTTTATGTGTGTGTGTGTGTTTCTTTATGTGTGTGTGTGTGTTTCTTTATGTGTGTGTGTGTTTCTTTATGTGTGTGTTTCTTTATGTGTGTGTGTGTGTTTCTTTATGTGTGTGTGTGTTTTTCTTTATGTGTGTGTGTTTCTTTATGTGTGTGTGTTTTCTATTTGTGTGTGTGTTTCTTTATGTGTGTGTGTTTCTTTATGTGTGTGTGTGTTTCTTTATGTGTGTGTGTGTTTCTTTATGTGTGTGTGTGTGTTTCTATTTGTGTGTGTGTGTGTGTTTCTTTATGTGTGTGTTTCTATTTGTGTGTGTGTGTGTGTGTGTTTCTTTATGTGTGTGTGTGTTTCTTTATGTGTGTGTGTTTCTTTATGTGTGTGTGTTTCTTTATGTGTGTGTTTCTTTATGTGTGTGTGTGTTTCTTATGTGTGTGTGTGTTTCTTTACGTGTGTGTGTGTTTCTTTACGTGTGTGTGTTTCTTTATGTGTGTGTGTGTGTGTGTTTCTTTATGTGCGTGTGTTTCTATTTGTGTGTGCTTGTGTGTTTCTATTTGTGTGTGTGTGTGTTTCTTTATGTGTGTGTGTTTTTCTTTATGTGTGTGTGTGTGTTTCATTATGTGTGTGTGTTTTTCTTTATGTGTGTGTTTCTTTATGTGTGTGTGTGTTTCTTTACGTGCGTGTGTGTTTCTATTTGTGTGTGTGTGTGTGTGTGTGTTTCTTTATGTGTGTGTGTTTTTCTTTATGTGTGTGTGTTTCTTTATGTGTGTGTGTGTTTCTTTATGTGTGTGTGCGTCTCACGTTTCACGGTGTTTAACACTCGGTTGTCCAGCGGCTTTCGGCTCGGATCATTGGTGGAGGAGCGGATTCCTGTCCCACAGCTATTGGCCAGAGTGTTTCTATGGAAACCATAACAACCCAATCAGCAGCAGCTATACCGACCTTTACATCCCCCCCCTCTGAGTTATGTAAAGCAGCAGCCGGATCAGGAAGCTGCTCGCCGACTCTCAGAACTGGAGTAATTAACACGTGGCGTCTGCTGATGTCACACTGTCTGGGTGTGACACGCGGGTCGATGACGTCGCCTCTGTTTGGTTCATTTTAAAAACTGTTGTTTACAGGTGTTACAGGAACACGCAGGTAGCTCAGTATTAAAACGTAAGAGGACTCCAGTGGCAACCTGTGAAACTCTGGTGAACTCGAGCAGGAAGCTTCTGGTCTACAATAAGAAGCCGATGCTGAAGTCCCTGAAACCTGCATTCTATTGAAAATCCAGCAGGGGGCGACTCTTCTGGTTGCAAAAAGAAGTCGGGCTCCATTAGAAATAATATTAAAATGTTTCTACTTGTCAGCTGATTTATTCCCTCAGTAAACACTTTCCTGATGAGTTTATGGTCTCAGTCGCTAGTTTCAAGTCTTCTTCAACACAGCGTGATGTTCATTTAGTAAATTATGGTCCCATTTAGAGGAACAGAGACCAGGAAGCGGGGGAGGCTTTAGGGCGGGGTTATCTATGATTGACAAGTCGTTACCATGGTGACCTGTCAATCAGGCTAGAGGCGACTCGAACCCTCGGCACTGTGTAAATTTAACCAGCGCCGCTGAAAAAGCTTATCGGGAGTCGGCTGTTCACTTTCTCTGGTGAGCACATTTAGTTTTAGGTCTGTTGTTCGCTAGACAAACTTATCAGCCAGTTAAAATGACCGTTAACGTGAGTTACAGATGCACTTAGCTAAGCTAGCTAGCTAAGCAAGCTAGCTAGCTCCGCACACGGCCATTTGCTCTGCCGTATCGTCACAAAACATGTTCACCAGCTCACCTGTCAAAGAACGTAGCCAGCAGTCTCCTGAGCAGCACCTTGTGTTTGACCCCGGCACAGAGGTGACAGTTCATCAGTTGACCCCGTGTCATGAACACACCTGAACCTGAACGTACACACAAAACATCAGAGTATTACTCATCTCTCGGCCTCTCTCAGACAGTTTTGTGTTTTAGTGAACACATTAGTTACTTAAAGAACAGGGAAACAAGAGCTGTGTCTCGGTGTTCTGGTGTCCTACCTGCCACCAGCTCCACCTTCTCTCCCGGGTCTCCCTCGGTGTAGAGCGACGGGTGGCAGCGGTACCCGATTTGACTAATCAGGCTAGCAGGGAGGGCCATGTTGTCCCGACCAACCAGCACGCAGGGCCGGCGCTCATTAGCCAGCGGGAGGGACAGCATCTCCATCTTTTCTTGGACTGGACCAATGAGAAACGGAGAGGCGGGGTGTTCAGCATGACGTCAAAAATATAAAACAAAGTTATGCTAATGCTACGAAAGTCTAATTTATACTTCTGGGTTTATGTAAAATGCAACCACACACACAAGAACGGCGCTTGGTTGGCTTGGTAGCATCGCATTTCCTCCGAGCTTCCAGGCTCCGTGCTTCTAAGTCTGTTTTACTAGCGGCCAAACAAGCGGCTGTAACACAGTGGATACCTTCTTTTGAGCGCCACAACCCCCGTGAAATGAGTAAGTTTGATCTGATTTGAAAAGTCTAGAATAGCCACGGTTATTATTTTATCCCCATTCAGGTTAGCATAGGGCTAACCCGGAAGTTAACTTGCTCGGCCAGTAAAGGTCTATTCACTGGAAGCTAGAACGCTACCGCCAGTTAGCATTTTGGGGGTGTAACTGCAGAGCAATTCAGACACCAACGCACAAGTAAAAATACGTGGCTACATGAGTCGCTAACTAATCAAATGGAGCTGGCTCTGCTCTTAGTTTGCAAGTGAGGACTGCAAATTGCAGCTTCAAAGACATCAATTTACCTCGGAAGTCGGAAGTTAGAGCTGGGAATGATGCCACGCTTTAAAGTGTGTTTAGCTGCCATGCAGTTCTAGTTACAAGTTGGAAAACCTTGCGCGGCCAGTCCTTTACAACTAGCCAGGTTAGCCATCGTTACCAGCGGCAGTTGTTAAAAAAATATTACACGGTATTTACGCATACTAAGCAGCAACATGTCCACAAATAGCAGTTGGACAGCACTTTGTGTAAAATTTGAGACACAAGTACACAGAAGAGCTAAGAAACAGTG